TGGAGTGATATGGTGAGAGTCCTGTATTCATACCCTGGACACATTTTGTGCTCTGTAATTATATGATCAAGTGAAGTTGCACCTGCTGTTTAATCTGGACATTTTAGAGCTTGTGTTTTCTTTCATCTGTTGTCAGAGCTAATATGCCAGGTGCTATGTAAGACAGAACGAAAAGAACAACAGCTACCATAGGGAGCTTACAGGCTGAAAGAAAAGCACACATAGAAAAAAAAACAGTGGGAGGTCCAGAGCAGGCCAATAATAAATAAATTAAAATCCAATAAACTGAGAAGTTCAATATCAGTTGTAGTTCTGTCTTACTCTCGTATTGTGATGGAGAAGGCAGTTAATTGATTGTAAGTCTTGCAGATGTGAACCTTTTAAAGTATGTGAGCAACAAGTCCACTGAGACTGGGGCCTATTTTGTGGATGGATAGGTTATGGAAGAAGTACGATCAGGAGATGGAAACAGCATGCCTGGTTATTAAGAGCAGCCTAAATGCATAAAAAATGAGGGCCAACATAGAGGCATATCTTGGTGCACGACTTTGCAAGTGAAGAAAGAGAATTTAAACTGATAGGCCAGGCTCAGAGAGTAGATTGAGAGGTTAAAACTGAGATGATAAAATTTGAAGGATGGGTAAAGTGATTATCTAATGGAGGAAAAGCAGCGATATCAGATGGTTTCTGTGCAGTGACTGTCAACATGCTTACTTAGACCACAAGCAAACAGTAGGGAACAGGATAGAAGAGAGAATATGTCCATTAGCTTATACAGAAACTTCACTTCCCCAACCCAGAACACAAAGTAACATCCTACTAACCTACAATCCAGTACCAAATGCAGCTCAGGAACGATGAAAAATTGACTCCCAAGAGATTAACTGTGTCTCTTTTATCCACATTTTACATGGATGTTATTCTGTGACCTTCAGCAGTTTTACTTTGGATTTATGTTGGACTGTAGCCTGTTCTCTAGACATAGAAAACTGTGTAAAAGAAGCTGAGGCTCCCTCGGTACTTTTAACTCATCAGGAACACAGCCCAGACCTGAGCAATGCCAGCGATCATCCCTTCGGCAGCGCACGCCCTTGCCCAGAGTTGGCCTGTGCCAACCAGCGCTTCCCTAGGTGATGTCTCCTTAGCAGGGTAAGGCACAGCAAAGCCGGGGTGCACGCCTGGCAGACACCCAGCCTGCTCTGAGGACAAACGCTGTGCCATGCCAGCTTCATCTCGGGCGCTGGCCTGTGTCACTTCCCACTCTACATGTAGTAAGTAGCCTCAGGGTTGAATGAGCTGTCTGGATCTGTCAGGCTGGTTCCAGCCCAGCAATATCTCCTGATGTTTCCAAACTTAAGTCTAGAGAACTTCATCTGTGAAAGGTTCCTATCACTGTCTTGAGTGTCGTCTGTGCAGTGTTGCTCTGGAATGCATGACAGATCCATCACATTTTTAAAAAAGAAGAAGAGATACTAGATGTAAATGGCAGTTTGTGTTCTCCTCTTTATGCAGATCACAGCATCATTTTACTATGCATTCAGCTTTCACAGAAGCAGACATCTCTGCGCTTTTAAAGTCTATCCTTTTTTGTCACTATTTGCAGCCTGTTGAGAGTGAATACTTCTCCCAATATTTTTTAGTTTCAGTTTCAGAGGCAGGTTTTTGCTTTCTATACAGACCAGCCTGTGATGCAGTAGTTTGTAGGTTGAGAAGAGATTTTAACTGGTAATCGTGTCCCTTGTCTGCGGACTGTGTGTTCCGTACATTATTTAAAATCTTAAATTGTAAATCATCTGATTTTCATAATCTCATCTTTGTTCGCAATTCATTGCCCATTGAAACATTCCATGCTTAAGGCTATGATTTTCCTCTGCGTCCACTGGTGTAGAACGTTATACCAGTAGGCCCACCGTGAGCAAAGGACAAGCTGAAATACCATGGATCTATGAGACCGAGGAGGTGAATGACCTAAAATGAATGCACACCTTTTAGGACACTCGAATTTAAGCATGCGTGAGAATTCGGTGATAATCTGCCTGACTTCATTACCATGAGATATGAAGGTTGCTGCTCATGAATGAGGGGTATGCTTTTCATTTCTATGGTAAATAATAAAAATGGTAATTTCTAGGAAAAATGTAAACTGAATAAACAAAGTCCATGTATGTCTATTGCTAAAGGAATACTATGACTTTGAAGGACACTTCAGCCTCACAAAAACAATGTCTTTGTAGTGCTGCAAGAGCCACCGAGACTTCAGATTAATTTATGCTTCATAAGTGCAGAATACAAAAATTGAATCTCTTCAAGGACTGAAGACAGTAGCCTTTTGAAAAGACGGTCTAAACAATGAATTAGTTATGTGAATAGATACAGTCATAAAATATAAAGAAATAAGAAGTCCTCATGCTTAGGAAGTAAACTAATCACTAAGAGCTACTCATATCCCTCATGCAGAGTCATAAACCTAAGGGAATCACAAAGAAATTCTAAGTTCCTTTGAAACATTTGCAATTGACCCTACTCAAAACAGAGCACAACTCTTTTGCAGGATGGAAATTCTAACTTTTTTGTGCTCTCTATGGGCTTTTCTAGACAATAGGCTCACTGACAATAACAAATGTATTCATATAGTATAGCTATGAGAAAGAAATGAATTCTAATCCTAATTCTACTGAATAATTGAAGCAGAAAGAGATTAACTGGATTGTCCAAATTTGCACAGGAATTCTTACGGCAAAGTCCGAATCTGACTTGTGGATCCTGTTGCATGACCTTTCCCTTTCATTTTGAAGAGGAAATTTATTTTCTTCTTATTTTCTCAAACACGCCAAACCCGTAAACATCTAGTCTAGTTTAGCCTACCCTTAAAATTTTAGAATAGTTTTGGGCAGAGCTTGTGAGAATAATGCTGACTTCTTGCAAGGGAGAAATAATTTCACACATTTTATTTTCTTTGGATCATTCTATAAGTGTTTCTGAATAGGTGTACATGATATAACTTTGGAATAAATTAATACCTTATTTTTCAAAAATACAAACCTACCATTTCAGTGTAAAGCTTCTTTATTATGAAGTTAACAGTAAGGTCTCCTAGTTACTTACATGAATGTAAAGGATCCTTCAGGATTTTTTTTATAACTTTCATTTGATTCGTTACTCCGGTGCAGCCAAATTAGAGGACAGGCATGTGATTTATACAATATAGGCAGATCATGTGAGCAAAGTCTCCATGGAAACTGCCTAATTTGTGCTTTAATTTAATTAGAGTTGTCCATTACCTCTCCAAATGAAATTTAATTTAAATTCATATGCCAGTCATTTTTTAAATTCTGTATGACTTTTTATCCATCACTTAATGAGATCTCTAGTAGCTGTATTTTAGCACGAGTTTATTTAACAATTGAGTTTATAAGCAAGATGTTTATTTGACAGCTCAGCTTATCCAACATTCTTAACATCCTCAGGACTTATTTTCTATGCAGTATCTGTGCTATACTACCCATTGTTATCAATTGTATATTCTTAACCTCACGAATTGTCAAAACTAGGAACAATTGTTTGAGAATATCCACATGAGTATATTCACTCATTTTTGCTTGCTGTGAGATAATTGGGAAAAAATCCTAGTACAAATAAAAAGTGTAATCAAGACCAAGAAATATACAAAATGCATGTATTTGTTAAATGGAGCATTGAAGCAGGCAAAACAGTGTGTTTGTTGTAAACTGAACCACAAAAAAAACAGCTTGTCTGATACAGGGATTGAGGTACTCTTAAGTCTGAGTTGGTTCAAACTGGCGGGAATGTCTGCCTGAGGATATGATGAACATGAACCGATGTGAGTTATTTAAGAGCCATCAGTCCTCGGTCACGCACTACAGAAACATGGTCTGTGATACATGATTTTGTCTTTGAAGAACTGCTGGTTGAAATATAGTGAGAGGCTACAGAGTACTGCATTCTTTCACTGTTCTTTTGAGGAATCTGTGCTTGTAACACACACAGATGGTAAGAAAGAGAGCCTTGGAAGGCTGTGTATACTCAAACAATTTCCATTCAGCTGAGACGCCAGCAAATACGGACAATAAGGCAAAAACATTTTTTTAAAAATCAAAAAGATAGTACTGTGTAGTTACATGAAACACGTTACTGTGATATTTTGTATCCTAATCTATGTATTCTCAAGCCAATCTTGTACCTTAAGGAAGTGCTACTGACTCAATTTTCCATATGCAGCTCTGTGTTAGAAATATCTGTGTCCAGCATGACAAGAGCGCAATGCAGAGGCAACAAGATGCAGTTCTGAAAGTGATGCAGACAGGGTAGCTAAGAGCTGCACTCAGGCCATTCAGCAGCTGAGTACCTCACTGCATTCATACAGCACAGACACGTCATCTGAGCTTAAGTACTCTTTCAGAATTACAGAAGTCGTCTCTGGCGCAAAAAGTAAATGTTATTGACAGGAGAAAGTCACCATCACAGCATTATCAGAGTTCAGAATTGCAGGATTGAAATGGTTGTGAATAAAAGGTAAAGAACGTGGCCGAAGAATCATGAGTGGCATTATTATTGTCAGAGGTGGGAAGTGCTAAAGGTAAAACTGGAGGACTGACTATAATGATTCTTCCTGGAATAAATACACGAAGGCTAAAAGGCAGTAGAATTCAGTACACCCCAGGAGTAAGCAAAACTGAAAAGAACAATGTAAAAAATGTGGTTTGTTTAAACACAAAAGAGCATTTGTGAATATTATGACACTAGTGATGTGAAAACATCTGATAAAATTTAAAAAATAATGAAGTAGAACAACAGTAGAACAACTGGCAAAGAGGAATAGATACTGCAAATAGCGCCTCGACAGCTTCACAGTATCAAAGATGCTGAATGGTAATAGGTATCACAGAGTGGATTTAAAAACTAGTGGAGAGTTTATGCCTGGATATACAAAAATATCAGAGTTATTAAATAGCTACTTTGTTTCTGTCTTTTCAGAAGAAGAGGGTGGCGATCTGCTCAAGTCGGGCTTCAGTTTTCCAGGGACGCCAGAGGAGGAGCTAGGTACAGATATCATCTCTCAGATACCTTGTCCTGCTTGTACATCCAGAGGCTGGGTGCAGCCGTGGGGGTGAGGAGGCAGGGGGCTGCTCTGTGCTACAGCCTTCCTCCAGCCACAGAGCCCACAGCAGGCACGGCACCAGGCGGTGGTAACGAGAGGGGCCAAAAACCTCTCAGTCCAATCCTTCTGGGAATATCTCACCTGCTACGTAAGGTTAGAGAACTGAAAGCAGAAAAACATCAGATTTGAGTAACATCCAGGCAATCAAGAATTCAATGTTACCTTTTAAATTTAAGAAAAATAACAGAAGCAAGAAGAAATCAGAAACTCATGGAGCCCATGAGTGAAATCTTGATACCTCTATCTCACAGAGCTACTAGTGAAAGGTCCCACTGGCTTCATTGTAGCAGACTTATACCTTTTAAATTAAGCAAAATTGAGTTTCTGTTCCTGGAATTTCTTATTCAGGTTGTTACTGTTTTATATAAAATCCATCAAAATTTTGATTTATATGCAATTACTTTATGTGGTTATTTTTGGAAGAGAAATATGGAAAGTGGTTTCTGTGTGTTTGCTAGTTAAAGCTCCCTTTATTCAAAGTGAGTGTACTTACATTTCAGAAGTTGGCATAACAGTAATTTTTCTCCTTTTGTGCATATGCTCATGTTAATACATTGCAACAGTTTATTTTGTGTTATTAGGATATTTTTGTATTTGACAAGAATATTATAAACTCTCGCCCTGACCTTATTGTTGCACATTGATAGGAAGATAAATCATAGTTGCTATATTAAGGCAACAAAACAAACAGTTTGAACAAGGGCCATGAATTCATGCAGGGGATGTCATTGTGTTTAAATAATCTTAGAACAAGGTTTTCGAAAACAAGTTGTGTTGCCACTTAGTTACACTCAAGTCAAGGAGTTCTATAAACATCCGGTATAAAAATAGCTATATTGGATTTGTTTGTGCGCTTAATATTAAAAAACAAGTGAAAAAAGCTATGGGATCAGTTCCAAAGATCAGGCAGAAGGATGTGTTAAGGAAGGGACTGAAGAACCTTCAGGCAGTTTCTGCCTAATTCGCGTAAGAGGGAAGATACGGTTGAGGATTAGGCTCCCTAGGAATCTCACAAGTGAATCCTCTGGCAGAGCGTGGAATGAGCACATCTCTCAACCTTCTTGGACATTTGGGTTTATTTCACGCTGCTGCCCCATTTCACAGCACACAGTAAGGAGTTCAGATGCCCCGGGGTAGAACTCACCTCATCTAACAGTTGAAAAGTAATTCCGATGTAGATGTCTAAACTGTAGGTATCTGGACTTCCTTTAGAGTCAATGAAGAGTGATAGACTTTTCTAGGACATAGCAAATTTAGCCTACTTTAGAAGCTTAACTTAGGGTGAGCTGAATCATGCCCTATAAGTATGTCAAAATTGTTCTTCCCATTTGGTTGAGAAAGAACTGCAGGATTTCTGAAGCCGGAGTGAATGGTATATAAGTCAATAGTATTAAATATCAGGTGTCTGCAGGAGTAAGGACCCTCAAATGAAATAGATAATCAAAGATTAACACAAAGATATGTGCTAAACTGATCAATCATCCAGCACCCTGATTAGGAAGAAGATAGGGGATTAGGAAGATGATAGGGGATTAGCCAACAGAAATGAGGAACAGGAAAGTAAAAACCAATAATAAAATCGCAACTAGACTACAAAGAAACTAAGCTGCTTTCGAAAACTTCATCCATTTGTTGCCAGAGAACTGAAAAAAAAAATGCTAAAAGCAAGGAAAGATCTGTCTTGAGTTGCAATTTTGAGTTGCAATTGGAGTCCTCTGAATGTAAGTACCAAAGATCTCTAGGTAGTTAATGTGGAGAGGTGGATGGCTTTAATATTTTTGGAAGGCAATCCTGTCCTCCTGACTTAGCTGCCTAACTCTAGATGACCAAAATAGATGGACTGGATACTGTCAGTAATGCAAAAACATATGATGTCATATTCTCCCTTAGAGAGAATCACTGTAAAACAAGAGCGAGCATACTGTGGAAGATGGAAGTTGGGAAGACTTTTATAAAAGTTTCAGGATAGTCAGTTAAGTTCAGTGTGGAGAAGCTCTGTAGTTACAGCTGTGCTAGTGATTAGTAACTCTACAGACAGCTGGGACATATCTGTCTGTCTCTCTGTCCCACAGTGTTGTGTTCTGCTACTTGAAGATTTGAGTTCATCTCCATGAACTGAACATAACAGTGAAAAAGCTACAAACTCTTAGATTTTTCTCTGTCTCCACTTTTTCTTGCTGTTTCACATGTAGGAAGTTAAGCATTCATTGGAGAGAAATCTGAATCCGGGTGGATACTCTAATCACTGGGCTATGGAAATGGGCTTTTTTTCTATATAAATACATATACCCAAATGACCGTGTAATTATTTTGTACAAACAGCCTCAGTCTGAAGGACTGCTAGAGACATTCATTCCTGAAAAAAACACAGAAAGGGCTTTCCTTGAGAAGTAAAATAATTGCCCCAAGTCAAAGCAGAGTAGAGATGATATTCTTTAAGGTAGCTGCAGGGCCATTCATTATTCTAGACTGCCGTACCTGCTCGCTGTCCCAAGGAGCTTCAAGTTATGATCTCTCTGGTACTGAAAAATATCTGGCTCCAGGCTCTTATTTGTAAAATGGGTTTAATATTTTCTAGTGAGGTTTCAGGGCTTTGGTGTGAATTAATTAATGTTTGAACAGTATCTCACCAGAGTGAAAATGCTGAATAGTCACTAAATAATATTATTAATACAATGATCCACTGCCTTAATTGCGAAAAGGTATCAAGAGATGGGACTGATCTCTACTCTTTTACATTATTGATTCTATAAAAGACCTCATTAGTTAAAAACAGGCAGAAATGCAATGGATTCCTTCAAATAAAAGCTTACCCAAGCATTCGTAGTCTGGTCTCAAGAGCAATATATTTCATAGCTTTTCCATTATCATTTATTTGTTAACGGGATTCACGGTGATAAGTATCGTCATGGTTACAAGATTCACACTTAGACCAAAAATTCCTATTCTTTTCACTAGGAATATCTCAAAGAAGCAACCTGATAAAGGTAGCAAGGCATGATGGTAGGTGCAAGAGATTTGATATGCGTGGTCTCAAGCAGCTCACTCTAAGTGTCATGGAAACTGGAGTTCTTCCAATTCCAAGCTTTGTGCTAGCCAGTGGTTATAAAATCTGAACAATGTAATTTATTAGAAAATACACATTTTATAAAACTGCTCTTTTCTATGCAAACTGGAAACTTCTTACAATCTTATTTACTTTAAGCATGTATAGGAAAAAGCAACAATTCACTTTGGTTGTCAAAAACAAATAGTACAGTCTTGGGAAGAGACATATGGAAAATGTGCCATGTTTAAATGACATTCAAATAGTAAAATAAACATGTGAACAGGGAAGATGGGATGAACTTTTCTTTAAATATAGATTTTAATAGGTAATATGCACAGAGAAAAGCAGGAAAAATAGTTTATTGAAAAATGATACCTTTTTATAGGAAAAGAAAACATTTATTTTACACAAGTTTAGCACATAGCAGCTTCTGATGTTAAGCAAAGAAAGAGAACTCACACTAAAGGCTTTTTGTGTCGGTAAATTACTGTTTTGTCTTCAGGAAAGGATATTGAGTTGATGTTAAGGAAAAGGTTAAAACATATAAAACAGGTTGCAGTTACTAATAGTGCTCTTAACCTGCCACAATTGCAAAGTAAACTGTAAGGGAGTTTAAGGGCAGGTTATGAAAATGTATTTTTATTTCACAGTTGATGCAGTCATACTTTTGATTAATTGGTATGGTTCAAGTGTCAGACAGTAACTCATGGTTATTCAATCACTGTTGATTGCATGATCATGCCTTTGTGACCTTATGTGTTGAAAGAAAGAAAGGATATAGCCATTCTTGAAATAAAAAAAAAAAACAAGCCTGACTTTCCAGTCTGTCTGTCTTTCTACCTAATTATCCAGTCTTCCTCAGTGCAGTCAGTGTCTCAACACTTTGCACTTTTCATGGGTTTTAGCTTCCTATACCAAGCATGACAGGAAATTTTCCCAAGGACAGACGAGGGGTTGGCAGTGAGCTCTTGGCTCTCCTCTGTGCCGGATCTGTGCCTTGGTCCACCTTCCCCCAGAGCACCCAGGGATGGTTAAACAGCTGTAGACTTTGACTGAAGCTGGTGGGACTTCAGTCAGACACAGAGGTTGGCCACACGGAATACACTGCTACAGTGACACCCCTGGAATTAGCAGGCACAATAACAAATTATTTCAAATTCTTAGATGGGCATTATTCCAGAGACTGAATGTTTCCCTGCTTTCTGACACTAGCCCTCACATGTACAGAAGTTATTTTATTCTTGTGCTATGGGAAATTGAGTCTTCAGGAGATATCCACACAGGTTAACTTCAACCCAGTGAGGCAAGGTCATTCTCTCAGTGGCCCCTGTCATCGCTTCCCATGGCCTTATCCCAGATCATACAAAGGATTCAGTGGCCACTGTCATCACTTCCCATGGCCTTATCCTGGACCATACAACGAATTCATAGCTAGACAGGAAATCTTGACTGCAGATTGCTGAACAGATACTGCAAAAAATAACCTTTTTTTATTATTATTATAGCATACCTTTAAATAATTCCACTTCAAATTCTTCTTCTTCTTGTACCCAGAAACTGTAGTGTAGAAGTTTACTGATGTGATGATCAAGAATATTAATGAAATAATGGGGAATGTTTTTCAGAAAATAAATTTGAAACTTTTAATTCCTTTTAGTTATGCTTGAGAGCTTATTCTGTGAATTACTTTAAGTCGTAGAACAAAATCCTATCTTATGGCCTGAGCATCATATAAAAACATGCTAACTATCCTGCATTTTAATTATAGACTGTTGGCAACAAATGATTACTAACAATCTGCAGACCAGAAGCTATTTCTAAAAATTAAACACC